AAAGTATCCCGCTAGGATGAATCTGCGCCCCCTCATACATAAAATGTGGCCCTGTCAGCTCGGAAAACAACTTAGGTAGAGCGTTATAGAGGTTCAAAGATTGTCCCGTGAACATGCGCGGACCAGTTTCAACGACATTGATGATTTTGCACTATCCGCGAAGGAGCTCATGTAGAAAGCTCAAACAACTTGTCATGACCCACAGTGCCTGGGATAGGCATTTCTGGACATTTCGGCTTGACGTAGTTAGCTCTTTGCACAATTGCCGCAACTGAAATCTCGTCCAAACACCCCTTTCATTAATTTCCGTCATGGTATCTCGTACAACCTCAAGCTTCACTGCTTTCGAGCGGCCTTTTTTCACGGAATCTGCGATTTTCTCGCGTTCTCCACCACGTGCACCATGTTCCCAACCAGTACTTCTGCTTTTCGACTTACAATTAGAACGGGTACCTTCGAGCGACGGGAGGTCGGGAATCTAGGAGATCCCCTCAGTGATGCCTGCTTACAGTTGCTCTATGGATATTCTTACGCAGTCCACACGTTGAATACATTATACAAAAGGTTGATTAGTAAGATTAACGCTGATAGTCACTGTTTCCGGTGTTTTGTAGCTGATATTTACGCAAGTGACCACAAAAAAGTCGATCCTGTGTGGAAGCCAACAGTCCTGGTCATTTCAAGTCAAGCATTTCCTGGTTGCTCGGTATAACTGCTAGTAACTAGTCAGATCGGAGAATTTGGTGTGAGAATCGGAGGGAGTGCAACATAGCAATGTGAAGCTGGATATAGACCGACAAGCCAGCTGATAGCTGATGCGTTCAGAGATAGGCAATGATAGTGGTTTTCTGATCCAGCGAATGCCAAAATTCTGACGCATGTAAATTTCTCTACTTTGATAGCATAACCTGCATGAGGTGTACATCATGGGGGACCATCCTCGGTTTTTTTTTTCTTGAACCAACCCGCTGTAGTTTCTTGTGGAAGTAGTTGTAGTAGCTATGATTTTCATCACCAGTGATTCCAGATGTTCTAGCCAAATGTTTCCTTTGTGTTATTTCAGCTGAGTTAAGCAGGCAACCACCACCGTGGTTGACACCTTGATGAGGTGTGGTACATAGTGGCCCAGCTTGTTCATCGTTCCCAGCTTCTTCAGACCAATTTCAATAGTTGAACCATAAACTCTGAGCGTGTTTAACCTTTCTCTTATTGATTGGAAAGGATCCGTTTTCACTTCACCGCGCAGCAAATTTGCGGCGATGCTGGCCTGGTTGGTTACATTCTGTTCATACCATTTCCAATCAGTAAACCCATCATTTGGTAAGTGGTGTGTGCAGTAACTGCCTTTTTCAATAGAGATCTTTTGCGTCACGTACTAAGTGAAGCAAGTTCAAACATAAGGTTGTTACTATGTGAAGGTCTAGACTGTCAATGAAAGGTCAGCATAATAAACAGTCATTGTTGAGAATTTCCCATTTTAGGGACCAGAGCTTCTTGTAGATTATCAGTGTTACGATTATTCCCTTGATATGTGGAGTTTGGGATGTATGCTAGCAAGTATGATCTTCCGAAAGGAACCGTTTTTCCATGGACATGACAACTACGACCAGGTTTGATCATTTCCTTTAATCAGTGAAACTTTTCTGTGTAGTTGAACTCACCATGTCCTACCAAATCTATGCAAATCTTTCAAGCTCGTTCGCATTGCCAAAGTGCTCGGTACGGAAGAGCTACATGAATACATTGACAAATATCATATTGAATTGGACCCGAGATTCAACGATATTCTTGGTCGGCATTCTCGGAAACGTTGGGAAAGGTACTGTTGTCAACCCCTATCCCCATTGACTTTGTTCCTTGTTTTGATTTGATTATCGCTATATTACAGATTCATTCATGCTGAAAATCAGCACCTAGTTACTCCAGAAGCCATTGATTTCCTCGATAAACTTCTTCGTTACGATCATCAGGTTGGTATCTTGTTGCGTGGTACGAAAAGTACCCTTAATGCGCCATGGGCATTTTTCATTTACATCGCCTACAATTTAGGAGCGTTTGACAGCGCGAGAGGCGATGGCACATCCATATTTCTTCCCCGTTGTGGAGGCTGCTCGTCAAGGTGGTGACTCCCTTACGGTGAAAAATGAACATGCAGAACTGCTCCCACAAGTAGCCGCTACATCGTAAGTAGGTAAGTTTTGATGATCATACGAGTAGGATTTCTGTTGATGTCTGAAACTCATTTATTCCAGACCGGTTTTTCTATAACTTTGTGATTCTTTGCCGTTGTCCTGATGTGCCTGCTGCCTCAACTCCAGCATGATGTTCAACTACAGTTTATTTGCTGATTCATAGTGCATCTGTTCACCATGCCGCATCCTTCATGATTACATACTTATCTATTTCGTTTGCAATTAGTGGCAGTTCATGGCAAAGTTACACAGCTGATTTCCTTCAGTGTTCATTGATCCAAGAGTAGTAAAACATCTGGGAATTTCAAATCATTTCTTTTCATGCTTCCTGTTCTGATCTTTATTTTTCGCTTTGTGATGACGAGCCGATTGAATTGTACTAAGTATGGAATATGGGAGATATAAATGTGCACTGTCTTGATTATTCTTGCCTTGGCATTGGTTTCAGCAACCCTGTCATATTTTTGGCCCTAATGAATCTTAATTGTAGACTCAATTCCGGTAATGTAATGTTGATCTAAAATCCGAGGAAGCCGGTGTATTGAAATATGGACGAAGCCGAGCCATCATTGCCCAGTATTCATCGCCAAAACGGAAGAGCAGCTAATCTTACTAGGCTATGCTGGTTGAAGGAAGGACATAGGGATAAATAGCCGCTCAGAGCTTTCCAGCGATCAACTGGACCCTCGTGACAATGTGAAAGAGAAGTTGTCGTAATGCAATTTGGTGTTTGCTCTGCTGGAATAGGTCTTCAGCTTTTCGAGAACGTAGCAGAGTCATCCACTTTTGATAATGCCTATCTTATCTTCAGTGACCAAGTCACGGGTTGATGCTTCTTCCAATAAAAACGATGAGAAAGCCGCGGTGCGGACGAGGCTGGAAAGCTAGCAAGGAATTACCCCAGGCATTCGATGTTCCCTAAAAGTTGTTGTCGGGTGTCTATGAAGTTCCATGGGTAGTTCTTTTGCGGTGTTTGGCTGAGTCTGGAGCTCTCGGTCGAGGAAATCCGGTCCTCTCGAAGTTTACAACTGAGACATTATTCTATCGGACGAAAGCAATGAGTGAAGGTTTTTTTGCACATACCACACTTCCACAGCGGAAAAAACGAAGGGCGATATGAACTGGCACGTGCGACTAACCATTAAGCAGGTAGGGAGAGGGGGCAAAGGGAACCGACTATCCGGTCAACTAAAAAGCGAAGTGTAAACTTCAGGTTCTTGATTCTTCACGACTGTTAGTCTCTCTCATTGGACTTTAGAAAATCGCGCCCTGTGAACAACATCCTTTGTCGGCATTTGTTTCCTTTCTGTTTCCCAATGAGTTCTAAGTGCAACCTTAATATTTTGCGCATGAAATTATTTTGAGTTCACCTAGGCACACATGATAACGGGCAGATGTGTGAGCTCATTGGCGCGTCTTTGCGCTCGCCAGTTTGCCACTCCAGCAGTTGATCCCTCTACACCATCTCCAGTCTATCTTGATGTGCAGGCCACTTCACCAATGGTAAGCAGAGTATTTTACCGAATCTTTATCAATTGGTAGAGAACAGTTTTTTCGTTACTACTGAGCAATAGCGATTTACATATGCATTGCCAATCATGCAGTTTGAGAAATGTCCGCGTCGCTGTTGACTGGTAGTGCCCCAAACTTCAATTGAATTTAATATTGTACCCAATCTAAAACTCATCAACAGCTACGGCTGAGCACGCTTGATTCTTGAAGATTTTACAAGCGTTTTTGGAAGTAATGCTCGAGGCAAAGGTGCCCAACTAGCAAGTATGCTTGTGCAAGCCTGTGTGCATAAATTGTTTCTGGCTTTACGTCACGGCGAACTCCAATTTGTAATCGAATTTCAAGGAAGCCACGGTGAGCCACCATAACCGGAAGCTTTCATGTAGAGTTCAGTGTGACCTCTTTGAAACTCGATTACCTACGCACGAAAAATCGTGTAAGTCAATGGAGTCGAATTTATTATTATTATTCCTCAAAATTATTATTCTTCCAGGCCTGTGTTGTTCGGCAAGTTTCTTATACATTTAGGGGTTTCAAAATTTTCCTAGAATTTTTCCTTAAAAAATTTAAAAACTTATAAACTTTTTTACATTTCCTCAGTAATGAGAGTGCTTGTTCAGGATCCACGGGTTGTGGATGCCATGATCCCATATATGTTGAATGAATACGGGAATCCACATTCGAGAACTCATGCATACGGATGGAAAGCTGAAGAAGCAGTGGAGAAGGCTCGCACACATATAGCGACACTAATAAAGGTCTGATAGCACCGCTGTTAGTTGACCACAATGTGTTCAGCTACATAAATTCTCGTCACTCTCAAAGCTGACCGCGTGCTTATGCTTTCTCTTTTACAGGCTGATCCTCGAGAAGTGATTTTCACTTCTGGTGCTACGGAGTCAAACAATATTGCCATCAAAGGAGTCTCGAAATTTCAACGGCATACTGGGAAAAACCACATCATCACATTACAAACGGTAAAAACCAATTTAGGATACCGAAGCATAGCTTTACCTGGAATTCACACGAAAACGCTTAGGCTTCATAGAAATCTCATCGTTTCCCTCATAACGTCACTGTGGATAAACTGTTACCGCTTGCACGATCTCTTGGAAAGCAATCACTTAAAATATAGCAAAGGATGACGCTATATGTCGGTTGTGATAATTTCAGTCACGGTTATGAAAGCAATTTTTAATTTCAAATATCTCCCACATGACTTGTTAAGTGTTTTGGGTTACGTCAAATTGGAAGCGTGAAGGGATTCGTATCTTCAGTGGTAATAGTACAGCTAAGCGGCGGTTGTGATTGTACAACTGTAATAGTGCGATAGCCATATCGTTGCATTCGAAAATTCCGTCGCGAAGACCTGATTACTCCCAGACACAACCCACCCTTGCTAGAAATCAAGCGTAAGTAGAAGTGAACCGGAGGCATTTCATCAGCTGGTGATTTTTGGTATGGACTCATGGTTCGGGCTGATGATATTGCTAGCTAGCGCAGCTATTAGTGCTGTAAAGATATGTAAAACGATTATTTCAGGAACACAAATGCGTACTGGATTCTTGTCGCTCTTTAGAAACTGAAGGTTTCAAGGTAACCTATCTTCCAGTGGATCATGGAGGTCGAGTTGATCTGAAGGTGTGATTTGTTAACTATTTCAACAATGTTTTTGAGCTACGGTCGATAGAGCTCAGAATCTGGGCAAAACGCGGTCTTCCTATCTGGTGACAAATGTTTTTAGGTGCGATTAGGGAAGGGTAAAGGGTGCTCCTTATAGATGGATTACAAATTCTCTTCTAGAAGGTGTGCAACATCACTTCTGATTGATTGGGCGAACAAAGAAATTTCCCTAATAGCTACTAGAACTGATGTCCTTTGCCCGCTTTCTGAAGTATGCGGACTCGAAAATGTATTTAGTCTCAGATATAGCAGTTCAGGCTCTACAAGACGCCATCACACCCGAAACTTGCCTAGTGTCCACGATGACAGTTAACAACGAAATTGGAGTGATTCAGCCAATCAAAGAAATAGGTAAAATTGCTGTTGTATTTACAAGGCATCGAGCCTTGTAGGGGTCCAGTTAGTTGTTAGAAGTTCAAGAAAATATTGCTCAGCTTTCTGATACCTCTTTATAGGGTAGTGAATTCGATTTATACAGTCGAAGAGAAGTATTTAGGCGAGATATGCCGAGAGCGAAAGGTAGCCTTCCACACGGACGCCGCTCAAGCGGTCGGCAAAATACCTATTGATGTGAATGATCTGAAAGTCGACCTTATGTCTATATCCGGTCACAAAATCTATGGTCCTAAAGGTAAGGTCCGAGGTCGAGAGACCTTATTTCTGTTTTTCTCAAGAATGTGTTTAGGTGTTGGCGCATTGTATGTTCGTCGACGGCCACGCGTACGTTTGGAAGCTCAAATGAGTGGTGGCGGTCAGGAGCGAGGGCTCCGATCAGGAACTCTTCCGACACCACTTTGTGTTGGATTAGGAGAGGCATGCAGGATCGCAAGCAAGGAAATGGGTACGAGTTTTCTATTCGGTTTTCTATTTGTTGAGGTCAGCGAAATGGGGCATTGACTGCCTGGGCTTGGTAAACTGAAGACTTTGATACGCTTCAGAGATGGACTCGAAGCATATTCGACGACTTTCCAAGATGTTCATGGACGGGGTTCAATCGCGGCTGGGTGAAATCATTCACAATGGAGATCCAGAACATTTTTATCCGGGATGCGTGAATCTATCTTTTGCGTACGTTGAAGGTGAGGTTTCACATTGTATTGGTTTGTCCGTCTGTTTCATTTGAGGCTTTGAAATAGAGTTCTTTGATACATTTTTATTATCCCATATATTTCAGGTGAATCATTATTGATGGCACTGAAGACTGTTGCTTTGTCTTCTGGGAGCGCCTGCACATCCGCATCTTTGGAGCCATCGTACGTATTGAGGGCGATTGGAACTGGCGAAGACTTGGCCCATTCTTCGATTCGATTTGGCATTGGACGTTTCACTACTGAAAAAGAAGTGAGGGCGTTATGAAAGAATTTGAAAAATATTGCCGAATATCCCAGAAGTTCCTGTCTACGCCGAACTACTAACCTCTCTGCAGGTTCGGAACGCCTTTGCTTAGTAGAAAATTTAATCAGCACATCAGGTAATGTTTTTGTTAAAATAAGGGGTGGACGTGTAGTGATAAGACATGTATAAAGGCTGCTAGAAAGTCTAGTAAAATCAGGAAGCTTAGGAAATTGTGATCACGAAATTAGTAGCTAAGGGATATTTGGACGTCATGTCAGTCTCTGTATTTGCAAAAAGAGCTGGCTATTGTAACCAAGAAACCGTTCCCCGTTGTGGCCATGGGTCGGGATCAAAGACATAGGAAGCTTCGTGTTGCCACTATGCTTAAGTTTTTTGTTAGTTTTCTCGGCCATTACTGTCATTAACTGTGTTATTCAAACTGTATGCTGCAGCTCCCAGACTGGAGTTACCGTGCCTCATTTCAGATCGAGCACACCATCGAATTGTGCGTTAAGGAAGTACAAAGGTTGCGAGAGTTGAGTCCGCTATGGGAAATGGTGCAGGAGGGCATTGATCTCAAAAGCATTCAATGGACGCAGCACTGAACGTTTCTTATTGCGGAGGCCTGCTGCTCTTCGAGCAGCCGACAGTCAGCGGCACCATTGCCGTACTTGCTCCATTGTCAAGTAAGCTTGTAGCACATGACTTCATGAGTTCACGTGTACTACCTTTACGATCTTCGTAAGTTGTTGATGTAATAAAAAATATTTATACTGACGGTAGAATAGCATAGCTAGTCTTTTGTATTTTGAGTGCTACTAGTAAATGTATTTTTACACCTGGAGATCGATTCATTTCTAGAATGTACTTTATGATACGGGAACTTAATAAAGTGAAGTAAAGCAGTTGCGAGTTGTTGTTCACATAGAGTGGGACGTAACGCTGGTGGAACCGCGGAAGGTTGGTCTTTTTGCTGGAAGCTTTTCCGTGTTTTAGTCTCCGGAAGTCGTTGCAACTAGCCTAAGCGTTTAGGCGCTTGGTGGGGTAAGTCACAGGTCAGGAGGTTCGAACTATTTTCAGGTCCTGAAGACGACGATTCAGTCGAAATGTTAACCATTAAAGCGGTTCAGCCATAACAAACCTGTACGGCGAAGCAGTATCGAACATTATGTAAAATGCCCAGATTTCAAGAAGACCAAACATGGAACTTATAGCATGATTCTACTGTTAGTTCTTTTGTTCATGTAAATCTTACTTGCTGCTGCATTCTGCTACATCCCATCGCGTGCGTCGTGGCTCTCGCCGCGCGCGACCATTTCGCTCCTACTGCTACACACCGCATGTTCCAGAAGGCAACACCTATCCAATATCGGAATTGATGTGTGCGTTGTATTTTCATCTTCTCATTTCGGCCCGTTGACATGATACTTGGCTTTCCTGTTTTTCATCGTCACACCTTAAATATACGCTTCCAGTACAGGGTGCTCCCTCCATTTGAATTCTGTGGTGCATTTGTAGTGGAGTTCACTATCCTTCGATAGTCCTTCGCTGAAGCAGCCCACTATGATCCCTAGATTTCACCCGGCTCCCTGAGCGCTCTTACTAAATGTCATTTCTCAGGACTCAGGTTGGTGAGACTTATTCAATTCCGTAGATGGTAGGAATTGAAGGGAAACAGTTCATGATGATTGTACTTTACAGAAACAAAACCACCCCTAAAGTGCCAAGGCGAAAGTGGGAACTAGGTGTTGCGTCAAATATTGAAGAAACAGAGTCAGTAGAGGTCATTACCACTAGCAGCCTAATCTGTGGGCGAGTTTGAAGTTTCGGAGGATCAGGGTTAATAAGTCAATTCAGCATGTTGGGTGATCTTCCTCTCTCTTTGTCACTTTTAGAACGTCGTCCCTTCTTCTCTTTCCGAAGAATGCCCAAGGGGTGGCACGGAGAAATCATTGTAAAAATCCAATCATCACCCCAAATTATTAGCCGAAAAAAAATCCTTTTTGCAGTTTCGATCGGTTGCTTTATCTCCTTCTTAATTGATCCTCTCTTTAACTTCAAATTCCCACTATCCACTTGCTCCTACCACGAAATATATCTTTGGGTTTATAAAAATCTCTTATAAGGACGCTACTTAGTGACTCAATTACCATTAGTTAAAGTGAGTTGAGAGTAGAATTCGCAATATCAGCCGGACTCGTTCCCATGGTAATCGGCTCATTGACAATCAGCTGCTGCTTTTTCGTCCATGCTACTCCATGGTTTCTCTTTTGTCGCCGCCCTACATATTTCTACTTTTGCTTGCGTCTCTCATCACATTAGGCTCTCAAGTTCTCTAGGTTCAAAACTGGCTAGTTTTAAAGTCGAAAAGAGGAACTAGAGCATTGAAAACAGGTGGCCGTTTGCTACTAGTATGATCTGTTTATTCATCCTAGACAACAAAACTTTTGTTTATCACAAAGATACCAACAAAGATTAGTTTACGCTAGATTTTAGAAATTGAAAAATTGGACTCCGAGGATCAGCTGGTCTGGNATGTTCCAGAAGGCAACACCTATCCAATATCGGAATTGATGTGTGCGTTGTATTTTCATCTTCTCATTTCGGCCCGTTGACATGATACTTGGCTTTCCTGTTTTTCATCGTCACACCTTAAATATACGCTTCCAGTACAGGGTGCTCCCTCCATTTCTATTCTGTGGTGCATTTGTAGTGGAGTTCACTATCCTTCGATAGTCCTTCGCTGAAGCAGCCCACTATGATTCCGAGTATTCACCCGGCTCCCTGAGCGGTCTTACTAAATGTTATTTCTCAGGGCTCAGGTTGGTGAGACCCATTCAATACCGTAGATGGTAGGAACTGAAGGGAAGCAGTTCATGATGATTGTACTTTGCAGAAACAAAACCACCCCAAAAGTGCTATGGCGAAAGTGGAAACTAGGTGCTGCGTCGAATATTGAAGGAACAGAGTCAGTAAAGGTCATTCCTACTGGCAGACCAATCTGTGGGCGAATTTGGAGTTTCGGAGGATCTGAGTTAATAAGTCAATTCAGCTGTTGGGTGATCTTCCTTTCTCTTTGTCACTAGTAGAACGTCGTTCCCTTCTCTTTCCAAGAAATGCCCATGGGCTGGTAAGAGGAAATCGTAATAAAAATCCAATCATCACCCCAATTTAGTAGCCGAAGAAAAGGCCTTTTTGCAATTTCGAGCCGTTGCTTTATCTCCTTCTTAATTGATCTTCTCTTTAACTTCAAATTCCCACTATCCACTTGCTCCTACCNCGAAATATATCTTTGGGTTTATAAAAATCTCTTATAAGGACGCTACTTAGTGACTCAATTACCATTAGTTAAAGCGAGTTGAGAGTAGAATTCGCAATATCAGCCGGACTCGTTCCCATGGTAATCGGCTCATTGACAATCAGCTGCTGCTTTTTCGTCCATGCTACTCCATGGTTTCTCTTTTGTCGCCGCCCTACATATTTCTACTTTTGCTTGCGTCTCTCATCACATTAGGCTCTCAAGTTCTCTAGGTTCAAAACTGGCTAGTTTTAAAGTCGAAAAGAGGAACTAGAGCATTGAAAACAGGTGGCCGTTTGCTACTAGTATGATCTGTTTATTCATCCTAGACAACAAAACTTTTGTTTATCACAAAGATACCAACAAAGATTAGTTTACGCTAGATTTTAGAAATTGAAAAATTGGACTCCGAGGATCAGCTGGTCTGGTTCTGTTGGCATTCAAATAGCTCTTCAGTTCCGGAGAAGGCTCGAATTCATGGCTGATTGTAGCTAGGCGCCAGGCGCAGTGAACCATGTTCGCCTTTCTTGAAACCTGGGCTTTTGTACTATTATTAGTCAATGCTTCTATGCCAAACAGGTTTCGGCTGACGAATAAATGTTAAATATTCCGCCTGACACCATTGAAATCTCTTTGGCATCGAAGCATTGACTAATGCAGTGAGCTTCGTTCTCTGGTACTGTCGTTTTTAAAGTTTCACGGTTATGAATCCTCCGCTGTAGGAAACTGAAGTTCGTTATGGGCTCGAAATTGCTGAAACAACGAGAGCCATTGCTAGCTAAAGCCTCTATGGTGATCGCCATGGTAACATCTGGGTGACCACAGCTGTTATTGATTTCACCAACTTTCTTTGTTGAATTACCCGAGCTTATGCGAATTTATGGCACCCCATTAAGTACCCTAGATTAGTAAGGACTAACGTGCCTTACTAACCTTAGGTTTTTCCTTAACGAACCATCATCACTGCAATGCTCCCCTTCATCGAAGCGAAACGTCATCACTGCAATGCTCCTCTTCTTTGAAGGAAGCAAGGACAGCTTGGTTGTGGAACTTGAAGACTCGCAAAGTATTTCTCATGGTGTAAATTTTAGTAAAAACGACGAAAACTTCCGGAAGAATTTCTTATTAGATGAATCAGCCTAATAACCACAGATTTCCTTTGATTTCTTTGATTGTAGCTGATTTGCTTCCGAGTCTCGCGGTAGTGCTCAGCTACTTTTCCAGAAAGTTGAATTACCAAGAATTCTTTCAGATAGCTGTCAATATTTGTACTTGCTTTTTGACGCTATAAAATGACCTAATTATGCTCGAGTAGCGGTGAGAGCCCATCATGAACGGTATTAACGGCGAAAGAGACGAGTTCTCATTGTAAGTTCATTTTTGAGTTAGTTGTTCCTCTCGAAATTATGAGCTACTAGAACGTTAATATTATTTATTAGCATTAGTCCTCACTAATATTTCCACTTCGTTATTCTATTTCTGTTTTCTATTGCTACATAACATACTGCAAAGAGTTCTGATTAGCTGTTTGAATTCTCAAGATACAGTGGCGCTCAAAATTCTACGGCCAAACGCTCTTACGTTTTTTCGTCCTAAACTTTTTTCTCAATGGAGCAAATCGTGTGAAATTTTGATATGTTTAACTGAAGCATATTTCACACTATGCAAATCTGTTTGATTGCAAAGCAGCAGTATCCGCATAATTAGAGCAAGGTGTTTGTTGCGGTGATAGGCTTCGCTGAAAGCAACGTTGGCGATGTCTGCAATTATTCGCACCTTATGTGCGTTTTTCTCTTTCACTGTGTACGGTATTAGCGCTCCTATACTTTGGACATGGCAAAAAGGAAAGCAAACCCAGTAGGACCATCATTCGCATTTCCAGCTGACTTTGAGTTCGAGCTTTTTAACATATCTGGAACATGACCGGATTGCAGGATAATAGTGGCCAATATTCACAACAAAACCATGCTAAACATATTGAAATTTCGCAGGCTTAGATCCAGTAGGAAAGGGGTTACGACCGAAAAGCATTTGGCCGAAGAGTTTTGAGCGCTACTGTATGTTCACTATTTACAGGGTGACCCACATGAAGTGTGACGCAGAAAACTAGCATCAAAATTATACAAATCAAACCAAATATGAAACATTCACTCCTATACAATCGTCACAAAATTGTAAACAACATATCACATTTCGCATGCAGAATGACCGTATTTCGCTTTAATGCAAGCATCCAACCTCTTTTGGAATTTTTCAGGTATGCGCGCAATCGCTTTCATCCCCCTCTTCTACAAGAGAGCTTTTTTTNTTTTTTTCAAAGAGTCCAAAGACCTGTGTTCGAAAGCGGAGGCTTTTTGCTTCAGAATCGTTGATACAGCAAAATCCACAGGATTGAGATCGGGGAATTTGAAGGTCAACCCTGCTCCGTCCCAAAAACCTGGAAGCGTGGTATAACAACAACGCAGCATCTTCTTTGCGCTGTGGGCTGGTGCCCAATCCTAGGAAGGGTTTAGCTGACGTTCATCGCGTTCCTTTCCGCCCAAGAGATCTACGCATCCTCCAACCCAGAAACCCATAAGTTGATTTTTTTATTGCCCGTCACACTTCATCTGGGTCACCCTGTATATGATGCAGCTTGTGCAATGCCGTGAGAGCTGGCCCGTATTTGGGTGTGTATGTCGAGCGGTTTTGGGAGCCTTTATTACGCCTTGTCCAGACCGTTTTTGACCCAATGCGTCCTTTGTGCTCTCCGTAGGGACCACAGGTCCATCCTGGGCTGGGGGGAGGGGGTGGCGAATCTGAGAAGTATTTTCATCGCGACTGTGCCCCTAAATTGTTTAACTACTGAAGTCCAGCTAGGGGTCTTTCGTGATTTAATGTTGTGTGAACTTTTCGTGCCTTTAAAAGCAAATAAACGAAATTCATATAAGATACGCAGGAAAGTCTGCTAATTCTCAAGAATTCTGTAGCCTGCATCTTTTTTTATATCCTAAATCTTCCCCCAGCGAAATTCCGGAGCTTCCTTGTGGTCAAGTGCTACGTGTGGACCTGCTGTCAAACTGGGGTGACCCCACTTATGTCGGCCTGAACGCCATCGAGATTTTCACAGACAGCGGGAAACGGTCAGAAGTTGCCAAGGTCAGTTTTTACTCACTT